AGAGAGAGAGACAGACAGAGAGAGAGAGAGAGAGAGAGAGAATTAACTAATAACTTGACTTTCATTCGACCTGAGACACACAATTAGTTGACTCATGTTTACACTGTTGAACTACTATATCAGAGCCCAAATACCAGTGGTTTTGGATTCAAGTACAATTTGAATGCAACCAAAATGACTTCAAATGAGAGGCCACTTATTGACCACAAGTGGATCTTATCTTACCTTCAGAGAGAGAGAGAGAGAGAGAGAGAGACTAATATTTACAGTTAGAAAACTATTTACATTGGTTTCATACAATATACTAAGTATTTGTGGATTATTGTGTTTAATCTGTAGTTTTTAGAGACATTTTTGGTATAAAAGAAGTATTTAATTTTATAGTGGGGTGTTAATTTGGTTCTCAAAAGTGTCGCAACTTTTGCTTGAGTTTATTATACTCACCGAACTTTATAGCATTCCTTTTTGTATGCATTTTATTAATTATTTTATTAAATAAACTTTTGTGCATTGAATTCATTTGTATTGTGCGATATTTTATGTGTATTTGGTTTTTTTGAGTGAACAAACACTTAATAAGTTTGTCCCGAAGGTGGGCAAACAGTGTGAGAGTGCCGGGAGTGACCATTGAGAGGTCCGGGCGGTGATCACCAGCGCCGGTAGGTCTGAACAGACAGCACATCGGCCGTGTTGAGGGAACCGCACTTGGAGTGCGAGTATACCGTTGGGTACGGTAGGAATCGACAGGTGTGGGTCTGGAGTGAGAGGTTGGTGGCGAGCGCCGGGCGTTCATTGGAAGAGCGTACAGTTGGGACTGTACCCCATTAGCACCGGTACTTCAGTTGATTGGGTATCGACTCGACCGACGGGGTCGGTCTGACTAGTGAGCACCGGGTGTTCACGGGTTGAGACATTGAGCGGTGAAATTAGGTGAACAATTAGTGCCGACGGGAGTTCGGCGCGTTAAAAAAATCACCCGGGGTAATTATCAACCACAAGACTCATTCAAACTACAATTATTGGACGAACCAGAACTTTAACAATATCATCTAATTTTACACAAAAATGTTACAAATGTTTCGTGAATTAAACACAAATATCTATGACTCGTATCCAATGGCCTCTTAGTCCTCCTCATCGAAAGATCGCGTTAAGTCCAGTCTCTCGAGGAAGTCGGCGGCGAAGTACTGTTTGAGTGGTTCCTCAAGAGGTTGCCGGAGGAAGTCATCCCAATATTGGGGTCGAGTCCGGCCGACGGACTTCAGGTACGCCTCCTCTTGTTCCTGACCACAGACCAGACAATCAATGGATCAGTTAAAGTGATAATTAGTAGACAATTGTCTCGCGTTNTGTATGTCCAGAAAGCACCGGTATGTGCCCAAAGTGACCACCGGTAAGAAGTTATCCCTCTATACGAAACTGAAACACGAGGAGCAGGTCATGAAATACCTGTCCAAACCATACATCACTCAAGTAATGCATAACGCGAGACAATTGTCTACTAATTATCACTTTAACTGATCCATTGATTGTCTGGTCTGTGGTCAGGAACAAGAGGAGGCGTACCTGAAGTCCGTCGGCCGGACTCGACCCCAATATTGGGATGACTTCCTCCGGCAACCTCTTGAGGAACCACTCAAACAGTACTTCGCCGCCGACTTCCTCGAGAGACTGGACTTAACGCGATCTTTCGATGAGGAGGACTAAGAGGCCATTGGATACGAGTCATAGATATTTGTGTTTAATTCACGAAACATTTGTAACATTTTTGTGTAAAATTAGATGATATTTAAGTATAAATGAAGTCATAGACAAACAAAAAAGCATTTAATTTTGTTATTTCTTCATGGACTCGATCCACTTCTTGGGATCAGACTTGATATCATTAGCGGTGAGAGTGTGTCCGTGTCTGAGGTAAGCGGCGAACATCGTGGCGATGGGGTCGTTGGCCATCGTGGCCACGGCTACCACTTTGTCGGCCGAATCCACATAATAGGCCACGAATTTGAATTGCGAGACTTCGCCGTCGATTATCACTTCCTTGAAGCCCTCGTTATTACCTATAAATCGACACGAAATCATATGTTTGTTTCAATGGACTTAACGCACGGAAAGTGTAAAACATTTAAAAACCTGCGAAACGAAGTCCTTTCCCGAAGAGCATTGACCAGAAAAATGGGACCGACTTTAAGTCGGATGTCTTTCCTAACATACTTAGCGCCGCACTCCTGCCTGTCGTGCCATTCAATGCGGGGTTTGTTTTAGTGATTACAGTAATCCGTGTTATTTAGGATTAATTTAGTTTTTCAAATGTCTTATACCGTGCGACTGAGCCGTCTGCCAGTGGCCCACGTTTACCACACTTTGGTTGACAATAGAGAGCTCGTACTTAACCACATCTCCGCCGGCGAACACATTCTTCTCGGATGTCTCGAAGTTCTTGTCGACCAAAACGTAGGACTTATCCATTTTGATGTCCGTCCCCTTCAGGAACTCGGTGTTCGGTTCCCCGCCTCAAGAGGATTGCAATGTTAACCGTTAGTATATCGTTAGTACATTTAAGTGTTAAATACCAATTCCAATGACACAAATGTCTGCGCTTAAGACATCGCCATTTGTGAGGACCACTTGTTTGAGTTGCTGATTATCATCGCCGCAAAACTCTTTGACTCCACACTCGGTGTAAAACTTTATTCCTTTCGATTCGTAGAGCTTTTAAAATGAAAAAAGCGATAAAATATCGAAAATATCGGCAAAATTTGACGCCAAGTCTCACTTCTTTAATCTGTTGACCAATTTGTGGACCCAATGTGTAAGCGAATGGATATTTACTTTTGCCGATCACTGTCAGAGACTTTGCCTTTCCGTTGAGGAATGCCGTCACTTCCATACCTATGCGTCCATTCATTAGGTTTTATGAAATAATTTATTCATCAAAATTGCTATAAATTTACCGATAAATGAAGTGCCGATTATCACGACATCTTTATTGACGGCATTGTCTGCGATAAAGTTTGCGTCTCTGTGTGTCCGCAGATAACAGATATTCTTCAAGTCATTGCCTTTCGCGTCGTATACTTTAGGTCTGACACCGGTTCCCAAGAAGATGCGGTCGAACTTCAGCGTCGATCCATTGTTCAGTTGAATTGATTTCTCTTTTGTGTTAATCTTATCGACGGTTGCGTTGAGAATCACCTCAATGTTGGCGTCGTTTAAGTAGTCTTTAGACCGCAGAAGAAGTTCTTCCACTTTAGTGCTCA